AAGACTCTGGCTGCCATCAGTGTAGCTCCATGTGGCTTGTCAACAGGAGTGAGTGTGTGTGTCCCGCCTCCAGGGAGCTATTTATCTTAGTGCCTCCCAATGCGGTCATCAAGCTTAGACCTGACTGGCAGGTTAAACTCCACCCCTTCGCAAGTTGACAGGAGATATATAACTACCACAGTTTCCGAGGCTATAAATCTATATGAGAGTGGAAATTTCAGCTCTCTCCTGCGAAATGACAGGGGCTTTCAAAATGTAGCCCTGTGGTTCGCAGCCCCATGCATCACCCACGACGCTACCGGACTCCTTGAAGAAGTTACGGGTCTTGCAAAACTATTCTGTGATCTCCAGCTTCATTTCTACCATCAAAGCCATATTTTCCAACTATTGATCCAACTCTTTGTTTCCAATGGTAACATTCCAACCACCAGAAATTAGCAATGCATTTGACTGCATGTCAGATCAATTGCAGAGTGAAGAAGTTGGTAGAATTCTTCAGTTTCTGCATCACTGGTTTTAGCGATCAGTGTACCCTATTGAGTGATGGTGGTGGTCATGGGTCTGCCTTGTATGTAGATGTTTAGACATTATCCTGGCAAACACAGCATCATTTATCAGTGTAGATGTTGAAATCTTTTTGATGATGTTTGCGACACCCTTCCCTCTGAGTTTGTCCTTCTGGGCACAAGTGTCCACGTGGCTTTCTGGCCCTTTCCTTCCCACAAGGGCCCGGGCCACGGGTCTTTGTGCACTTCACTTCTGATGGCTTCCAAATGGCCTTGATTCACACTTGGTACATTTCTGATCAACCCGAGGGAGCTATCTCTTCAGACACTGTATCAGACAGCGTCCCACTGCTGTGGTTTTCGGTGGCTACTCTCAGAAGTGGGATGCTGATTCCTTCTTCCTGGTCTCAGTCTGTCTTAGTCCACTGCGGGTGTCCCTGCTGGTATGTGTTATACCGGTGTCATAGCTTGCAGCATGGCCGCAACACGCAGGCCACTACAGTAGGACAGACTGACAGAGGGTGGGGTGAAGATGGTGCCTCTCTGGGCAGTGATCTGTTCTGTTAGGGTAAGGCCGCCTTGAGTCCAAGACATCTGGACACAACTACCAGCAACGCGCCTGGAGTCGGCCATGCCTGGAGAGTTCACGTGTCCTGTGCCCCTGGGCCTCAGTGGAGGACGCTCCCCTCCACCCCTGCTTCAGTCAGCAGAGGCCCGGCTGTGCTGCATAACAAACTGCCCAGACGCCTAGTAGCTTCCACCAAGGTCCTGCTATTGTCCCTTGTATTTCAGCAGGTGCTGATGGCACAGGGCGCTGCCCATCTGTCCTCCAACTCCGTCTGTGACTCCTCACCACATAGGAGAGGGGAGGAGAGGGCTGTGGCTGGTGTGAAACACCGTGGCACAGAGCCATGCCCCTGCCACCATCCCCCAAGTGGCATGTCTGACCCTGGGGGAGGGGGCATGATCCTGCTGTGATAGCCAGGACAGATGTGCGCCCACCAGACGGAGGCCTTCCTGGCGGAAGCGCCTTTGGTAACAGTGGCCCCCAGGCCCCTGTACTGAGTCCAGTGAGAGGCCCGTGGCCCTGGGTGTGGTGTTCAGCCTCTGCTTCCAGCGCTGAGCGCCTGACGGTGCCGCCCCTCAGACATCGTGTGCATGGACCGCGTGGAGGAGATCCTGGATCTGGTGGCCGAGGACCCCCTCGCAACTAAGGACCACAAGTGGGTGGCGCAGAAGTACATCGAGACGCCGCTGCTCATCTACGACACCAAGTTTGACATCCGGCAGTGGTTTCTCGTCACTGACTGGAACCCCCTGACCATCTGGTTCTACAAGGAGAGCTACCTGCGCTTCTCCACACAGCGCTTCTCCCTGGACAAGCTGGACAGGTGGGTGGGGCCGGCAGTGCCACCACTGAGGGGGGCCTGTGGCCTCCAACACTGGGGCTGCACACTCCATGCCGTGCACATCCAGGGCCGCGTCGGCGAGAGGTCCTCACTAGGGCTGTTCCAGAGCCACCAGGCTGGAGAGTGAGGGGCTGGGTCTGCACCCCAGGCCCTGTGCTCAGGGGTCCACGGGGCTGGGACACCCAGCCCAGTGAGAGGGGCCGGCTTCTCTGGGGCTCCAGGTGGGCATACCCCCTCTTGCCCTGAGCCAGGCCCTTCGGGTTCTCTATGGGGTAGGGCCACAGCAGATGTCAGCCGTCTGAGCTTCTGGGCAGTGGGAAGGAGGAAGCAACCGGGGTCACCACCTGGGAACAGTGGGGGTTGCCCCCCACAGCAAGACCAGAGGTACGAAGACAGTGCTGGTTGCACCAGGGCCAGAGCCCTCCAGAGTGGGGGGGACAGAGGCACAGAGTGACTGGGACACCCTGGCGGCCTGCATTGATCTGTGCTCCCGAGAAGGCTGCGAGGAGCTGGGTGTTGCCCACAGTCCACTGGTGCTCCAGGACAGGCCTAGCCATTCCCTGCACAGAAATCAGCAGCTGGGAGCTCAGGGGCAGCCATTCTGGTACCCACAGCACACGCTGAGTCAGGGTCCCCTTCTTGGTGGGCTCGGTCACAGCCCCTGGTGTCCCACAGCTAGACTGCAGTGGTCCTGGCTGCTCCTAGGCTGGGAGCCTGGTGAGGCCCTGTCTCCCCAGGCCTGAGCCTCTCCTGAGGCAGTGCCCCTGCCGCCCACAGCGCCATCCACCTGTGCAATAACTCCATCCAGAAGCACCTCAAGAATGCCAAGGGCCGCAGCCCGCTGCTGCCCTGCCACAACATGTGGACCAGCACCAAGTTCCAGGAGTACCTGCAGCGCCGGGGCCGCGGCAGCGTGTGGGGCAGCATCATCTACCCATCCATGAAGAGAGCCATCGCCAACACCATGCAGGTGGCCCAGGACCGTGTGGAGGCCCGCAGGAACAGCTTCGAGCTCTACGGGGCCGACTTCATCCTGGGCAAGGACTTCCGGCCCTGGCTCATCGAGATCAACTCCAGCCCCACCATGCACCCCTCCACGCCCGTCACCGCCCAGCTCTGCGCGCAGGTGCAGGAGGACACCCTCAAGGTGGTGGTGGATCGCAAGCTGGACCGCAACTGTGACATTGGCAACTTCGAGCTGCTCTGGAGACAGGTGAGTGGGCCTCGGGGCTCCGTCCCGGTTGGTCACCCGGACAGGTCTCCAGCAGGCTGGGCACCGAGGACGTGGGCCCGGCCAGCACTGAGTCTGACTCTGAGCCCCCTTGCCTAAGTGTCACCTGCTCTCAGCTGAAATGAGCAGAGGGGTGGCATGCCCCCAACTCCTCAGTGGTCCTGGGGGCCTGGTGGTCACCCCCAGCCACCTGCAAGCCAGGCCTCCCCTGCCCACCTGCCCATCAACAGGAGGGATGTCCTGGGTGGGTTTTGCCTCAGGCCCTTCTGCTCTCCCATTCCTGCCCAGGTGTGGGCGCCACAGGCCCCTCCTTTCTGAGGCCCTGAGGGGGGCGGCTGGGGTTGGCCACCCTGAGTGACCTTGGGGTCTGGATTTCACTTCCTCTGGACAGCCCTCTTCCTGGGGGTCACTACCCCTGGCAGGAACCCTCTGGCAGCAAGGAGAGTTGGCTCAGGGCCTTCAAACTGGCCCATCTGAGCTTCTGCGAGGCACGTGGCTTCTGGGGAGGCTCCCACTAGCTGGGCGAGTCTGGAGTCCGCAGCAGTGCAAGCAGAGTGACCCTCTCCGAGAGAGACCCAAAGACTGGACCCTGTGTCCTAGGCCACTAGGGAGAAAGGCGGGCGGCCATGAGTCACAGCCTGGGTTGGGATGAGCGGGCATCGCCCCAGGGGCCCTGACCACTGTCCTCCCCCACCCGGCCCGCCCCCTGCAGCCTATTGTGGAGCTGCCCCCGTTCAGCGGCTCAGACCTCTGCGTGGAAGGGGTCAGCTTCAAGAAGGCACGCAAGCCGGGACTCTCCATCTCGCCCCTGCGCGCGTCCGCGTCGCCCTCAAGTACGCGGACCCCAAAGGCCAGGTGCCCCCTCGGCGCGTGCGAGCCGGCGCGAGGGCCGCTACCAGTCACACTGCCGCAGGACTTGAGAGGGAAGGCCCACAAGGTAGTGTGTTGTGCCTTCCCTGCGCTGCCCTCGCGGGGCCTGCTGCCCGACCTCCCCGCCTTCCGGCTGCAGTGTGGCCGCCTGCCCCCGCGGGCAGCGCTCGCAGCGCCCCTGCAGCCCCTCCTCTGGAAGGCGCACCCAACCGCGCCCCGCGGCAGGAAGGTGGTGGACAGCACGCACCTCCAGCTGCCCAGAGCGCCAGGTAACAGTGCGGGGGCGCCGGGATGCTCGTCGTGTGCTGGGGGGATGGGGGATCAGGTTGGGGGTGGGGGCAGGAACCCCGAGGTCTGGGCTTCGGCAACTGGTCCAGGGCATCCCCGGCAGGGCCCCGGGTGCCATCCAGCTAGCAGGGACACCTGATGCACTTAGGGCCTGTGTCCTCCTCTCTGTCTGTGAAGCCAGGGTTCTTCACACCCCCTGAACTACGGAGTTACCTCTGCCTTTCTGCCTCACGGGTACCAGTGCGGTCAGGGGGGTTGAGCGGGGTCAGTTGAACAAGGCCAGGGCTTGGGACACGAGTGGTCACTGGGCTGCGTGTTCCTTTTGCTGAAGTGTATGGGGCCCACTGCCCTCTGCCTCAGACCCAGGGCCAGGCTGCAGCTGGAAGGGGTCAGCCCAACCACACCGGCAGTGTTGGTAGAGCGGGTGACAAACTATGTCCCCCACCCTCCTGCTCCACTGTCCCTCCCCACCCTCATCTCTTACTGTCACCCTCCCCGACCCAGAGACCTCTGCCTGCTTTGCATCTTCGTGGTGGGCAATATCCACCATGCCCTCCCCTTGTCTGCCTGTGTGTCTGTCGTCTGCCCCCTCTGGGCTGTGCGCTCCCTGGGTCAAGCCTTCCCGCAGGGTGTAGGAGCACAGATGCTGTTTGTTGACTTGTGTGGGGTGTGTGTGTGTATGTGGGTGTGTGTGTGTGCTGGCCTCGGAGGACGGGGGCTGACGCCAAGGGCAGTGCACTTGGAGGCCCACAGCAGGCTGGACAGCCTCCCTCCCTGTCCGTCTGGTCAGTCAGACCTGTTGGTCCTTCCCCTGGGCATCTACCTGCCTCAGGGGCAGAGTTTGCATTCTTGCTGTTATGAAAAGGCGTCTCCTGGCAACCGGGCAGCTTGTGACAGGGGTCCTCCCTAAAGGGGCACCAGGGGCTGCAGGGGCTCAGGGAGCTACAGAGGGCATGTTGGGGGCGCCTGGAGGCTGCAGAGAGCATGCCAGGGTCATGGGGGCTGTAGAGGGCATGCTGGGGGCACAGGAGGCTGCAGAGAGCATGCTGGGGGCATGGGGGTTGCAGAGAGTATGCTGGGGGCACGGGGGGTGCTGCAGAGGGCATGCCGGGGCCACAGGAGGCTGCAGAGGGCATGCTGGGGCAATGGGGGTTGCAGAGTATTCCAGGGGCACAGGGGGCTGCAGAGGGCATGCTGGGGGCATGGGGGCTGTAGAGAGTATGCCAGTGGCATGGGGGGCGCTGCAGAGGGCATGCTGGGAGCACAAGGGGGGCTGAAGAGGGCATGCCAAGGGCACAGCGGGGAGCTGAAGAGGGCTTGCTGGGGGTACGGGGGGGGGGGCAACCTGTGCAGCAGGATTGGGCAGTGGCACATCTGCGTTTCATTGTTTATTCACTGCCACCCAGTGGGTTCTGACTCAGAGTAGAGGTGCTGCTTAGGATCTCTGAGACTACAGGTCTTTGTGGGAGGAGACAGTGTCATCTTTCTCTGGAGGAACAGCTGTGGATTTGAACTGCCCACCTTGTAGTTAACAGCCCAATTCATCACCCAGGGTGTTGTCTAAATAGGCCCATTTTCCGATGTTGGCTGACCATCTGAATCGCATCTCCTAGAAAGTCCTTGCTCAAATTGTGTGTCTCCTGCCCTTATCATCTATGTTTTTCTTACTGATTCAGGGGTGCCATCTGCCCCTACAGGTGGTTTGTGTTGTAGGTGTGGGCCCCCACTGTATCTTGGGCTCACAGTGTGTCTGGGCTGTGTTGATCTTAAGCAGGTCGTCATCTTGTGTCTGCTGAGACTTCGGTGACCAGGGCCCCTGGCTTGGCTGAGCCGCGCCTGCCTCATCGCAGGGCCTTGCCAGCTCGCGTCACCACTGTTCATCCGACACCTTGGCTGTGTCACACTGTGCTGCTGTGAGCTCCCTGGAATGTGCCCCTTGTCATCCTGTTTCTCTGGAGCCTGGGGGGGCTGGGCCTGCTACACCACAGGGTTTGCGAATGTCTAGTTCTGGAATGTACCAGCTGCCTCCTCAAGCGCAGGGACAATGTCCATGCACTCCGGGGATCAGCCCTCTCTCCCACCCACAGTGTCCATGAGCTCGTGTGTGTGTGTGTGTGTGTGTGTGTG